TTCTATGTTTTTGTTTTAGTACTTAGGTTAATTATATGCATATAATATATCTGATCCTGGTCAACCCATTGCCTCTCTTGTCCCACTCAGCTGCTAGATCTTTATGGTGTGATAATTACCTAGTTTGATCATTGTGCAACACTGATTCTTCTCTTCTCCTCCGGGGCTACCTCTACCCACAAAGGTGGTCACAGGAAGTGCATTTGAATTGCCTCGTCCTCAGGCGTATGGATTTTGTTCCTCAAACATCAGGGTCTACTTACAGCAATCACACTGTGACCTTGTGTATCTGTGGACTTAACCACAGTACAAAATTACTTAGTAATACATTTAGGTTTTACCTCAGGAGCATGTTTTAAATGTATAATTATTTTCTTTAAAAATATGAATATTCCTGTTATGAGGAAAGCATGTTATTTGGTGAGATTAAACTCTTGGCCTCCCTGTGTGTGCCTAATGCACTGCTGGCAGCAGAGCTGGCAATGGCTGAGTCCACCAGAACAGGATCTTCTACCCACGCTCTCCAGCCTACTTCAGAGGTGATCCATTACGCCCCATGCTTTTGTTTCTCTCTGGAATTTGAAAAAAAAGTAAAATTTTCTGTGAGTGGCAAATTCATAAGCTCGGGGCATGAAAATGTTGGGATTTGATATAAAGAAACCTTTAAAGGAAGATTAGTGGTTTAATGGAACGGTTGGTTGCCCTGGGGAATTTTGCTGTGGCAGAGTGGAATTCAGTAATGAAAGGTCCTGCTTAGTCTGATTGCCCATTCATGCCATGATCAGGGTCCTTCCTGCCGGACCCCTGCTGATTGATGGAGCTGATTGCAGGTGCTTCATAAACTCCATCTCACTGTACCGGAACAGGTGGGGTTTGCCTGCCTGGGACTTCCCTGGTTTGTGGCATGGTTGCTTTCTTTGCTAAGTAGAAGTTGACTGTCATTCTTCATTAATTAAGTCTTTAAAATGGAGAAGCAGGGCCAGAGGATGGCTCAGTGTGTAACGTGCCTGCTGCACAAGCATGAGGACTGGAATACGATCTGCAACATCCACGTAAAAGCTGGGCATGATGGTGTATTAGTGACCCCATTGCTGAAGAAAGGGAAGACAGGAGGGTTCCTGGAGCTCCCTGGCCAGCCAGTCTTGCCTAATCAGCAAGATTCTTCCCTTCCCCCACAAAGATGGAGGGCTCATGAGATGGCTCAGCCGGTAAAAAGCACATGGTGTGCAAGCCTGAATACCTACCTGTATTTGCTCCCCAGGCCCCATGTAAAACTGCAAGGAGAGAACTGACTCCACAAAGTTGTTTTCTGAACTGCTATGGCACACGCACACCCACACACCATCCACATACACAGGGATGATAGATAAAAAAAAGTAATAAGGAAGGCCCAGTCTTAGCTGGATTCTCAGAAACAGTTATGTGAATAGCTGGACAAGTGATGCTATTAGTACTCAGTGGTTGTTTCCTATCCGTTCTGCCCTTAAAGGTTTCTGATAGCTTTTACATTTTCTGTAGTGGAGTGCATAATTAAAACACCCAGGAAGATGCCCTGTCTGTGTGCAGGAAGTGGAGCCACAAGACAAGTCTCAGCCTTGGCTTCTTGTACCCATGTCCTCACCATGGCAACTATTTCTACTGTCATACGGTCATAGTCCCTTTCTAGATGAGAAGATTATCTTTGCATTGGACAGGTAAAGTTAAATCCATTTGCATTTATCTAAAAACCTTAAAAGTCCATTTGGGGAAGTGACTTGGACGTCATAAAATTATGATGTTGATTTGAGAGAACATTAAGTCTGGTCCTCTCCTTTGAATGGACCTTAAATCTGTGTCATCCAGACAAATGAGACTCTCTGTTTCATAAATGATTTACGTTCTATTTAAAAGTATGTGAAAATGGAAATTTCATGGTTTTCCATGGTTCTTCATCCCAGGAACAGGGGCTTAGTGAGCTTATTATCAGCATACAGAAGTAGTCATACACTCAGCACATTTTCTCGGGGGAGAGGGAGGGTCTAGTGGGTATATTTGGGATGTTTCCATCCTCCTAAAGAGCAGTGGATGGACCACTGGTATTTCCTCAGGTGAGAGTCTCATGAATATCTCTTAGGTAATTCACTCATTTTCTTTTCCTGGTGTATTTTTGCAGGCATTTTTCTGCCCATGTAAACTACAAAAGGGTCACATACTTTTGTGGGGATCTGTGCACCCCTGCATAGAGATCCATCCATCTGTTGCATTAGCTTCTCTTGAGGAGATAAGCAAACATCTGTTCACCATAGATAGGGCACCATTGATACATCAAAGTTCTTTTTCCACAGTGAGTTGATGGGGCTTTCAGAGCATGAGTGACCTCAAAACAGCCAGATACCCGTAATACCCCACCCCATTGGAGATGAGAGCCTCATGGAAGCTGCATCCGGGTGTCTCTTCCAGTGTAGTTCGATTTTAACATTCTCTAGCATCTCTTAAGATTACTTCCTTGTGAGGGGAGCAGGAGGGAAGGACAGCAACAGTCCCAGATAATGTCTTTGACACTCCTCTACCTTTTACTTATGAGGGTCAGTAGCTCAGTTAGTATTACCATACACCCAGCTACCTCTTGTCTTGGTCCCTTCAGTTAGTTGCCATGGCTATGGGGCCACAGTGCTCTAAGATGGTGATGGGGTGAACATGTTATATATACCCTTTCTAATCTGTTTGGCTACCTTCATGCCCTCTTTAAATTCAAGTTCAAGTGTATGCTTTTCTGTGGGAAAGACCACTAGTCTTCGAGGGGTAACTTGTTCTCCATGCTGGCTGTGCTAAAATATTTGTGGTGATAATTTTAATTCAGATACTTAAAATTCCAGGGCCTTGACAATGTGTGTTTTTCCCTTCTCCTTGTAATAAATGGCCAGTCTCTGGGCTAACCACCATTCTATGGCCATTTAGATCACAAGATATTTGCTTGCCAAGTGTATAAAGCTATTCCTTATGAAGGATTTTCCTACTTGATTGCAGTACCGAGCATAGTAATTTGTTCATAGTAGAGGTGTGTGTAGTTACCTGTGAATTCTGTGAAGAATCGAACTGCGGTGTCATTTAAATTCCAAGCCATTGTATAATATGTTAAATTGATGATGCTCTGTCAGGTGTAGTCACAAATTCACATTCTTGAGCTTGTATCTTAAAGCTTTTTTTCTCTCAAAAAGATGTATTTTTTATGAGGCATGCATGTAGGACACTGGAACCCTATGAAGTGGCATTTCTTTTTCTATTGTTAAAGAGAGAGCAAATGGCAGGCCATTAATAAAGCCTGCGGCTCAGTGAACCCCAAGGCATCAGAGTTATATCTATTGCAATTCAGCTTTATTACACTGTTTGGGTCATAGGAGTGGATGATTTGGGCTGAAGTACATAGCAGAAAGGGAAATTGGACACACAGTTGACAATCAGAACCCGAGGATGCACTTAAAAAGCAGCTCAGAGCAAAAACAGGTGGGACTCTCCCAACAGGACCTGGATTAGTGGCTCCTCCTGACACTGAGTGACATGTTTCATTACAGCTCCCTACAGTTGGCTGTTTATATTCCTGCATGAGATCTACATCAACCCAAAGAAGGGAAAGTGACAATGTCTTACTCTCTCTTCATATTCCCAATGCTGCTGCAGGGTCTATTCCATAGGATCAATGCACATTTGTTTGTTTATTGTGGCCAGCCCCTCACTGGGGGATTCTAGACAAGAGGTAGCTGGGTGTATGGTAATACTACTGACCCTCATAAGTAGAAGGTAGAGGAGTGTCAAGGACATCATCTGGGACTGCTGCTGTCCTTCCCTCCTGCTCCCCTCACATGGAAGTAATCTTAAGAGATGCTAGAGAATGTTAAAATGGAACTACACTGGAAGAGACACCCAGATGCAGCTTCCATGAGGATCTCATCTGATACACTGTGACCAAAAGCAACTTGGGGAAGGAGGTTTATTTGGCTTACTGGTTCTGACCATAGTCCATCATCGGGGAAAGGCTGGGCAGGAACAAAGGCATAAACCCTAGGTAGTAGTGGTACTTCCTTTGAAGTCAGAACTGGTCCATGTGAGGAAAGCACTCTACCACTGAGCCACACCCAACCTCTCACTGGGGGATTCTAGGCAGGGCATGCTGCAGCCCCTTACTGGGGGGATTTTTTAGGCAAATGTTCTACCACTCAGCCATACCCCAGTCCTTAACTATAGGATTTTCTCCTTGCTGGGGAGTTCTAGGCAAGCGTTCTACCACTGAGCCACATCCCCAGTGATAGTCTACAGACAGATTATTGCTGTGATAAAACACTGTGACCAAAAGCAACTGGGGGAAGAAGGTTTATTTGGCTTACTGGTCCTGACCATAGTCCGTCATTGGGGGAAGGCTGGGCAGGAACTAAGGCATAAACCCTAGGTAGTAGTGGCACTTACTTTGTCCCAGCACACAGTAGGTGGAGTCAGACCGTCTCCATAGAAACCTGTGTGTTAGATTAACAGAGCCACTGACATGTGAATTCACAGAGGAGACCATGTCAGCAACTAAGGTGAAGAGCCATTGAGGAAGACATCTGACAAACATCACACATGTGTGCCCTCACACATGGGAATACAAGTGCACATGCATGGATACTACACATACACACAAAAATAATGAAATAAATAAAAACAATGAATTCAATGTCTTGTATGAGCAGGGATGTTCTGCTGTGTCGCTTTAATAAACTGGTATTAATTCTAAAGAGGAGGGACTTGTGATGATTTCATGGGCCCTTTGGCATTTTGAAGTATCTCCTAGGCTGCTGCTTTTTCCTAGTGTATCAGGGATTGTTTGCTACTTAATTGGGCTACACATCCTTCATCTCTACTGTTGAGCATTAGAACTGTTCATATAATTGATTTATCGTTTATGTAGATTTATCGATTGGATTGGGTTATTTTCATCTTGGCTTCATTACTCTTTCTCCGTTCTTTCTATTCTTTGAATATCTCAGATGATGTTGCACCGTATTTCAAGACAGAGCCAGGCCTGCCACAGATCCACCTAGAAGGGAACCGCCTTGTCCTCACCTGCCTGGCTGAAGGGAGCTGGCCTCTGGAATTCAAGTGGACACACAACGACAGTGAGCTCACCACCTACAGCAACGAATATAAGTAATTGATGGCTTGAATTACAATCATGAGGTTATGTGTTGAAATCCTTGCCTTATAAGACATAATGGCAAAAGGCTGGCAGTGCTGGATCAAGTCCCAGGGCGTCGAGGGTCAAGGGATAGATCTGGTGTGTGGTTAGAACGGGACTTGCTAGTCTGGAAGATGTTTTGACTTGAGTGTCTATTATTCCACTTGTGACAGTAGTCCCATTTAGTAAAACAAGTTGGGATGGGAATGCACGCAGTACTTTAATGTGACACATTTGCTGTTTTTGGTGACAGCCCCACCTTACAACTATTGTTTGTATCCAGCTGGTGTAGGCATTTCCTGTAGGTGTGTAGATCAGGAGCTTCCAGAAGTCATGCTGTTAAAATCCTTCTAGCTGCTTCTTCAGCTTTGGCTGGAAAAGGAGCATCAGTGGTTGAGTGGGTGTGAGCAGAACCTTGTTACTCAGCAGGAAACCCAGTGAATATGGACAGCCTACCTGCCAGATACAAGGGTACAAGGAACTCAATTAGCCGCCAAGCTCAGTGTGGGGAGGGTAGAGCTAGAGACCAAGCAGGTTTAAGCTGTAGCTATATCTGGAAAGTAGCCCTACCTCTGTCTTGCAGCCTCAGGTCTTTGTATTTAAAAAGGAAAATTAAAATTTCTTAGATTATTTAAGTTAATGTACGAGTGGAACTCCTTGCGTCTTCATCCGTACATGTCATTGTATGCTGTTCTAACTGTCCTCTTCCCCAACTGCCCTCCTGTCCGTCTGGACCAGTAGAGAGTCTGTCTTATGTTTTTATGGAACCTTCCTCCCCTCAAATGATTTCCCTTCCTAGTTCCATGACCTATACACAGATATACCACACGCACACATGCATGCACACCTTTAAGCCTAAGTTTTACATATGAGAAAAATATATACTTCTCTTTCTTAGCCTGGCTTATTTTTCTTAACTTAATGATTTTGTGCCTGTCCATTTTGTGCAAATGTCAAAATTTCATGTTATGTTTGAAAACATTCCATTGAGGATATGTGCCATGTTCCTGTTATCCATTCATCTGTCGGCAGAAATCTCAACTGGTCCAGTTTCGTTGCTCCTGTGAGGAGTGCAGCAGCAGGCACCAATGTATAGGCATCTCTGTGGTACATTGACTTAGAGGCTTTCCAGTACAGACTAAGAGAGTGGTCTACCTGGGTCCTGCACTTGACCTAATTTTAGCTTTTGAGAACCTTTGATTTTTTTTTCAACAGTGTTGCGTAATTTTACATTCCCCTGGGCAACATCATAAAGGTTCCTCTTTCTGTACATCCTCACTAGAATCTATTATTGGGTTGTGTTTTTTTCTTTGCTCCTTCTTGGTGATGGCTGTTCTGACTGGGTTGAGGTGGGATCTCATTGAAGGTTTTATTTGCATTTCCCTAGAGGAGAAGGATGGTGAACACCTTTTAAAATATTGATTGGCCATTTTGTATTTCTTCTTTTGAGAACTGACTAGTCAGTTCACTACTACACTTATTGATTGGGTGCTTTTTAATGTTTAATGTTTGCGGTTTTTTATAGACCTTGATATTTATCCCCCATGTGCTGTGCAGTTGGCAAAGAGTTTTTCCTGTTCTATAAACTGTCTCTTCATGCTGGTGAGTGTTTCCTTTACTGAGCAGAGACTTCTTAATTGCATGTAATCCCTCATGCCAGCTCCTGAAATGATTTCCTGTGCTATTGAGTCCTGTTCAGAAAGTCCTTGTTGGTGCCTGTACCTCAAAGTGTTATTCTCCATAATTTTGCTAGCAATTTCAGACTTTTGGTCTTGTATAAAAGTCTTTGATCCATTTTGAATTGATGTGTGTGTGTGTGTGTGTGTGTGTGTGTGTGTGTGTGTGTGTGTGTGTGTGTGTGCAGAGTGAGATATGGATCTACTTTCATTCTATCTGTTTTTCTAGCACCAGGCTGTTGTTTTTCAGATGTATGTTTTGTTTTGGTTTTTTTACCTTTGTCAAAAATTAGGTCTCTGTGGCTGGGAGGATTTAAGCCTGACTTCTGTGTTCTATCGACCTGTGTGTCTGCTTTGTACCAGAACTGTGTTATCTTCGTCACTGTGGCTCTTCGGTATAATTTGAGGTCGGGTTTTGTGATGATAGAGATTGCTTTGGGTATTTAAGTCATTTGTGCTTCAGTGTACAGTTTAGAATCTTTTTGTTTTTCTCCCAGGTCTGGGTTTCAATGGGGGTTGTGCTGACTGTGTAGCTGGCTTTCTGTGACATAGCCATCTTCACAATATTAATTCTTCCCGTCCATGAACATGAGAGGTCTTTCTGATTTCTAATGTCGTCTTCAATTTCTTTCTTCAGTGTTTTAAATTCCCATGGTAGGGATCTTTCACCTGCTTGCTTAGATTTACTGATGGATTTTTTAAAATCTATTAACAAATAATTTTTGTTGTTGTTTTTGTTTTTAGTTTTTTTTTTTTCTCTGTCTGATTTCTTTCTTGGCAAGTTTTCTATTGATATATGGAAACACTACTGATTAGGGTATATTGATTTTTTTTTAATCCTGCTACTGTGATGAAAATGTATGCATTTCTGGGAGTTTTCTGATAGTCTGTCATGTCTTAGGGTGTAGAATAGAATCATCTGCAAGTAGGAATAATTCAGTTTCTTGATTTCCTATTTGTGTCCCTGTTTTCCTTTCCCTGGCCCCACTGCTTGAGCTAGGCCTGAAGCATTTATACTAGATAAAGTGGGGACAGTGAGCATCCTTATCCCATGCCCGACTTTGGAGGAAATGCTTTCAGTTTTCTCCCATTTACTATAATGTTAACTGTAGGTTTGTCGTATGTAGCCTTTATTGTAGTGAGGTATTTTCCTTCTATCTCTCATTTCTTCAGGGCCTTTATCACAAACAGATGCTGAACTTTGTCAAATGCCTTTTCCACAGCTATGGTTGATGATTATATACTTTGCCCTTAGGTCTACTCATTTGCATACATTGGAGTGGAACCAAGGTGGTAGTGGTGTGTGGTATTAATTAATGTGTTCTTTAATTTGGCATGCAAAAATTTCACTGAGAACTTTTGCATCTGTGTTCATTTGGGAAATTGGTCAAGTTGCTCAAGGTGTGTGTGTGTGTGTGTGGTTTGGTGTTAGGGTGGTGTTGCCTTCATTAAACAACTTCATTGATATGGTTACTTCCCTTACTATGCCACAGAACAGTTTGAGGATTACTCACCTGTAGTGGTATTTGCTCTGCCCATGACCTTGGGCTATAAAGGCCCCACCCGAAGGAGGTGGTGCTTCTTGCTGTTGTAGGTGACCTCTTAACTCACCTTAGCTTGTCTTTAAAGATCTGGTAGAATTTGGTAGTGATTCCTCTGGACCCTTAGCTGGGAAATGTTTTAATACTGGTTCAGTTTTGTTGATTTTTATGACTCTGTTTCACTTGTTTATATCCTCTTGATTTCACTTGGTAGATCATATGTGCCTGGAAATATATCCATTTCTTTTAGATTTTCCAGGGCTTTGATGTGAGTGTTCAAAGTATTTCCCAATGATTCTCTAGATTTCATTGGTGTCTGAAGTAGCCTCCCCCTTTTCTTCTTTAGTTATAGTATCTTGGGTCTTCTGCTGCCTCTTTCTTTTTGTTAGTTTGGCTAGGGGTTCGTTAGTCTTGTTTGTGTCTTTGAAGAACCAATTCTGATTGATTCTATGTATTAATCTTTTAGTTACCACCTTAGTCCTTTTGGGCCTTGTCTGGTTTTGTGCTTAACTTGCTCCTGATCTTTGAAGACCTGGAGGTACATCATTAGGTTGTTTATTTGGCATCACCTGGTTTTTAAAAGAATATAAACACTCATAGCTAAAATTTTCTTCTTAGAACTGCTTTAGCAGTGTCCAAAGGTCCTGGCAAGTTGTACTTTGACTTTTATCTGATTGTGGGGACTTTTAATTTCCTTGCCAATTTTGTGAGTGACCTTCCCGTCAATCATTCAAAGGTGTTTTGCTCAGTCTCCATCTATTTGTGTTGTTTCTGTGGTTTCTCTTGCTGTATTGATTTCTACCTTTATTCCTTTATGATCTGATAAGATTAAAAAATCCAGTTGTTTTTGTATTTGTTAAGTCTTGATTTGGGCTGGGAAGGCCCTAGAGAAGGTTTCATGACTGATGAGAAGAATATATATTCTGTTTCTGTTAAACAGAATGTTCTGTATACTTCTATTAAGTCCTTTGACCTATGGTATAATTTAACTATGGGGTTTCTTTGCCAATCTTTGTTTGGATGACCTATCTAAAAATGAAAGTAGTATATTGAAATCACCAACTGCTATTGTATGAGGATGTCTCTGACCTTTTCTGTCCATTAATATTTGTTTTATGAAATTGGGAGCCCTGAGGTTTGATGTGAATATACTTCTGGTTGTTGTATCTTCTTGATGAGTTGTGCCCTTTATTTATTTATTTTTTTTTTTGGTTTTTCGAGACAGGGTTTCTCTGTGTAGCTTTGCGCCTCTCCTGGAACTCACTTGGTAGCCCAGACTGGCCTCGAACTCACAGAGATCCGCCTGGCTCTGCCTCCCGAGTGCTGGGATTAAAGGCGTGCGCCACCACCGCCCGGCCAAGTTGTGCCCTTTATTATTGGCCTTCTTTCTTTATGCACATGTATGTGTGACTGTATATGTAACTGTGTATGTGTTTGCACACATGCACACATGCATGTAGGCACGTATGTGTATTTATGTAGAGGCCAGAGAGTTATATCAAGTCTCCTGCTTTATCATTCTCCACTGTATACCCTTAAAAGAGGGTTCCCCAGTGAGCCCGTAGCTAGTCTGGCAACCAGCAAGCCCCAGCAAGCCTCTTGTGTCCATTTCCCCAACAGCACTGTGGCTATAGGCATATTCGTGCAACTATGCTCAGCTTCTTCTTGGGTGCTGGGAATTCATACTGGGGTCTGCATGTTTGCATAGCAAGCATTTCTCAGCACTGACCCTTCTCTCTAGCCCTGTGTGTTTTT